CAAAGAGCCACAGGTTGGAGTTGAGCCCATGACCGCTGCAGCAGGTTTGTTTTTAATAAGCTGCCTGTGATGAAATCTTTTCAGAGATCAGTTCAAAACCTTGACTCCACCTCTCCTGTGAAGTAGCTGAGCAGCCTGGATGTGTTTACTCACTGCCTCAGCATTAAACTGTTCGCACAGCACCCGCAACAGTAAAGAAAAATGAGGCGCTGAGAATGACACTGCAGTCCTCGCTTTTTCTGTTTGGCCAAGCTGAGTCATAACATATTGATGTGTTTGTTTTGGGTTTTTTTTTTCTACTTACTTATATCCATGACTGGCCGCTTTATAGAGGCTAACTATTTTCACTCCACAGTGTTCAATCGAAAAATGAAAGAAATGCTGACTCTTTGTGCTAAAACTGTCTCTCCCTTCACCTCCCTTTTCTTGTTTTCCTCAGTGCCAGCAGCATTGACCCTCGACCCTATCACAGCCCACCAAAGACTAATCCTCTCAGACGACTGTACCATAGTGGCCTACGGGAATCTCCATCCGCAGCCTCTGCAGGACTCCCCACGCCGATTTGACGTTGAGGTGTCTGTTCTGGGCGCAGAGGGGTTTTTGTCGGGCGTCCATTACTGGGAGGTGATGGTGTCGGAGAAGACCCAGTGGATGATCGGCGTGGCAAACGAGACAGTCAGCCGCAAGGGCAGCATCCAGATCCAGCCCAGCCGCGGCTTTTACTGCATCGTTATGCACGACGGGAACCAATACAGCGCCTGTACCGAGCCCTGGACCCGCCTCAATGTAAAGAGCAAGCTGGAGAAGGTGGGGGTGTACCTGGACTACCCCAAAGGCCTGCTCATCTTCTACAATGCAGACGACATGTCCTGGCTCTACACCTACCGAGAAAAATTCCCCGGCAAGGTCTTCCCCTACTTCAGCCCGGGCCAGAGCCACGCCAACGGCAAGAATGTGCAGCCGCTGCGAATCAACACTGTACGCCTTTAAGAGCTATACACCTCTGTGGTCGTGATTGTCCTGACAGATGAATCCATCATTGGTGAATTCACAGGACTTGTGTAGGTTTCAAAAGATGTTCAAGAAATCAGTAAAAAAGATGTTTAATAGGGTGTCTGAAATGTTTATTTCTCTCCTTCAGTTCAAGAATTGTGCTCGATGTTGCTCTTAAAACCTGCGCTGTTTTTTGTGACTTGAAACGACCATTCGATAATGGCCTGCACTTGAGCTTCATTCCACGTCTTTAAATGAAAAGATGACACTAAATGGAGACAGAGGGGGCTCCTCTGGGGTCTGTGGCTCAAATGTAAAATAAAAATAAAAAAGAAGTGATTTTCCCTCTCAAAGTGACTGTCCCAGGCACACCTTGCACACTCCCAGGGGGCACTGCCCTCTTTATCAAGCTCCGGCCTCGTCAGACTCGATGTCCCCTCTCTGTCCAGGCGGACACTGAGGACTGGTCACTTGTCTTCTCTGTGCTGTATAGTTGGCTTAGCTTTGCGTGTGGAACGTGATCAACAGCACTCTGCTCCTGTCTTTTTTTTGGCTTATGTTTGGCCAGCAATCCACCCTGAGCTTGTCGAGTCTGTTTTATTTCTGTCCGAGACCATGATGTCGGTTCCTCCTGCAGCTCACATCCACATATGTCTGTTCAGTCTTTGTCATTGCAAGTAGCACAAAGCTCTTGTTCTGTGTGTGCACCAGCAATTGTCCATGCCACTTAAAACAAACTAAACGAATCAAAAAGTAGTTCATAGGCTGCCCATCCTTATCCACTGCCCTGTCCTACCCACTTGGTGGGAAAGTCTATTTGGAGGTTGTCCAGAAATATGCTGCTATTGATGGAGTAAGAACTTGCATGTTTGTGTATTTGAGTATAAAGGGTTAAAAGGAATTTTCTCATCATGCTGGCTCATGTTTAAGCTTCCGCTCTTTCCCCCAAAACCACAAATATGCTAGCCCTTAGCATATACGATACCTGTGGGATATTTGTCCACTTCAGTGTTTCCAGTCGTTCTTTTAAAATCAATGTTATTTAAAATCATATCATTTATGTAGATGAAGTCGAGCTGTGTGTTTTGGGAAATGACGGTTATCAAGGGAAACGTTGATGGATGGATGGATGAACTTTAGCACTAATATACTATTCCTACGAGACTGGCATTCCCGAGGCTGCTGCTGTGTTACATAATAACAGAATCACTGATAATTCCTCTGAGGCTCACCCATGTTTATTTCTTTGCCCCACGTGCCTCAAGGGCTCTTGTTTATCAGTAGTTGTACACAAGTCCTGCAGAATCTAAGAGGCTCCGGTCACTCAGCCAAGTCCAGCATACTGAGAGTTATGTGTGTGTGTGTGTGTGTGTGTGTTTGTTTGTATCTCTGTGGGTGGTGGTGGGCATGTGCGGTTATGTTTGTACGGCTTGGTTTAGCTATAATTTTAAATCCAGCTTTGGTTGTGCTTGATAAAGCCCATCTGGCCGTTAAAGCATACCCATGCAGTGGCCAAAAGTGATTATGACAAAATACTTTGTTATCAGGTAGAACTTAACAGATTTTTCTTTGGTTAATGTACAACAGCAAAAAAACAAAACAAAAAAAAAAACAGTCACCTCACCCTTAATTTTCCACTGTACATCTTTGCATTTGTACGTGTGTTGTCTGTGTTGTCTGTTTAAAAGAAAATCAGGGCAGTGCCCTTGTTTTTTTGTAGGATGTGATTCCGGTATTTGCAGTACGATACAAACGAGGGTCAAATGAGCATTTGCGAGTTATTCTTGGTCTTTGTTTTAGCTTGCACAGATCTGCAGGGGCCTGTTTCAAGAAGCATATCTGCTATGTTGTCTGAATAATGTTGCTGAATAAAACCTGGAACATGTCTGTTTTCTGGGATGTACTCTGCAAAATATATTCAGATAACCCAGTCAACCTGCTTTGCGAAACAGGATTTATATAAATATGTGTGAAGATAATAATTTAAAAAAAAGTTTAGACAATCAGGACAGTATTTAGTCATTTTACTTCTCAATTGACCCCATGAATTGAATTGAGAAGTAAATCCCACCCAGCAGGTGCTTCATGCATGTTAAAACAAGTGCTCAAATCTGACCCCAGTTTGCTGTCTTCATTAAAGACTTTCTGTTTGAATATTAAGAAGGAGATTATTGTGACGTGGTGTTGGGTTACTGGTGGTGGTGACGCTAATGGTTAAAATGATCATGATGATAACTATGACACTTTTAATGATTATAATGATAATTGTGTCTTTTGATGATGGCAGCTGTGCACCCATCATTGTGTGAACACACTCTAGTGTGCTTTTGCTGCTGGAGGTTTGTGAGATGTTTTAATGTACAATAAATTACTGCTAAAATGTCTTTAACTTTGTCCTGGTTTTGGATGAGCATCAACACAGGCTGTAGAGCATCAATAAGGATGCACCAGTCCAATTTTTTCTCCCCCGCTACCGAGTAAAAATCCACCACCAACGCTCTCTTTTTTTTCCCAAATTTAATATCTGCACGCTCCTCTGTGGGAAACTTAATGGAATCATCTTTTATGGAGGTATCATGAGTCTGCACGAGCCGTGACTGAATGTAACTGATAGTGGAAACACTGAATTCTGCTACATTTAATGTGGATGAAGTCATGTCATAGCCAATTCCCGATCCATTTAGGGCAGATACTGATCCGGTATATCCGATCAATGCATCCCTAGTTTCCAACCCTGGGGGGTTCATAATCTCCAAGGGGTCACACTCTAGATCTGAGTGGGTAAGAAAGAGAAATAATTTAAAAATGATCAAATAATAATTTAGCTGCTACGTAAAATGTGCTGATGTTTTCAGACCTATCTCATATCTTTTGAAAGGCTGGATGGTTTTTACCTCCTCAGTCTACAGCCATGCTAGCAGCTCTCTGAGGCTGTACATAGGCACAGTGATGCTTTGAGATTAATGCTAACGTCAGCACAATGACAACGTGGACATGCTGTTGTTTAGCAGGTTTATAGTTTTCCATGTAGGCATGATAACATTTGATAATTAGTACACAAAACACAGCTGAGTCTGAATGTGATCATGCTTTGACTGCAGGCACTACATGAGAAGGTTTGGAAGATTCATGCTTCCATAATCGTTTGTACAAACCTTAAAAGCAATTTATCCAATGGTTGTTGAGCTATTTCAGTCCGGACCAAAGCAGTTGATAGAGAGCCCATTCCATCCATAGAGCCACTTCTTCTGAGAAAGCAGAAAGTACTCTTTGCCTCAAGTGCTCAAAGCTCATAAAAAAAATTGACAAAGGGTTAATGAGTTACCGTGCTGTAGGGGGCATACATGTCAATTTGCTTTAATACTGAATACTGAAACACTGTTTAGTCTTTAATCAGAGAGTGAACATGATCTACCACATTACACTGAGAGCAGGAATATCAAAATAGTTTAAACTGAAACTCACAAAATGAAACTTATCTGAGAGGCAAAGAAATCCTCTATGAAATCCAGGAAGGCTTGTCAATACCTGCTCCAGTTCAGTAAGAGTTTCATGCCAGACATTTTAGTTGAGATGTGCCAAACTCTCAGCCATGCTAAGCCATCCAGCAGGGAGGTGGGAGGTTGCGCACTCTTTTTATTACTGTTCCCCGTTTTGGCATAGGCTGAGGCCCAGGCGTGTGACATGAAGAATAAAAAAGATGTCTGCATGGGTTCAGTGTTCTCTCACTGAGGGTGATCCGCTGCTTTCAATGGGTCCTCCTCATTTGCCATCTGTGACGCGTTTTAATGACTGGTTGTTAAACTGGAGGGAATACATAGTCAAGCAGTTTGAAATCATGATATAAAGTTAAGATCTGAGTCATACACTGCGCCAGAAACCCAGAAAGTTGTGGTTTTTGTAACTTTGTACACTGATGCTTTATTCTTTCACACTCCAAAGCAATTGGGTCTTGTTGCATCATGATTACAGCTGTCCCACAACAAACTGCAGTTTGAAGCAGAGTGCTGTCTTTTCACAGCAGACCCCGAGGACAAGTGGCTTCATATCCTCAGCTTTGATTCAAGGCACTTTTCTCTTCTCACTCCTGTGAGGGAGACATTTTTATCTGAGGAGAAGGTGTCCATCCTGTAATCGACGTTTTTACCTGAGGGGAAAGTGTCCATTAGAAAGTCACTGAGCTCTCCTTTGAGAGACCTATATCTGATTCCAGTCTGATGTGGGTCTCCTGAGGCAGGAGTGTAAGGGTTTTAATCTTGTAAGTGATGGAAAGAGCAGAAATCAAGGCTCATTTCTACCATCACTTACAGTTAAAGAAAATGAGCTGCAGCTGTAAATCCAGTGGCAGGAACAGATCTATTGTCTCTATTGTTATACGTGTTACAGGGTTATGTATTAGATTAAATATTATAATAATTTTAAATAATGATGTTTTTCTCTCTTTTATATATCTGAAAAGGATTTATTGAATTTTGGGCAGCTGGTTGGACATAACAAGCAACCTGAAGATGTCACTTTGAAACTTGACGTGGCGGGCATTTTTAGGATTTTAGGATATTTTGTTGTATTGAACAGTGTTAAGTTAGTTGAAAAATGATTAACGGGTTGATTAAGAATAAAGATTTTAAATTAGTTGCAGCCATACTCTCTCTGTCTAGTGTCCTGGAGGATGTAGTTACAGTATATTCAGGATGGTGGAGTTTCCTCAGATTAAACTTCTCTTTTTCTTTCCTCTACTTTATGTACAGTCAAAGTCAAAACACGTCCAAACATTGAAATAATTATAAGAATAGTCCCGAAAATTTTGAACAAGGGACTTGCTTCAGAAAGCTGAAAAGAAAGAAGTCACATGAAGGTGAATCAGGAGATTGTTAATCTGCCTGCAAGCAGTTAAATCACTCTGTGCGTGTTCTGTTAAAGCAATAAAATGAAACACCATTAGTAAGGAAATTACACAGAGCACAGTCGCTGCACTGAATAGTAACGACTTCAGGAAACTTACAGAAAGTTAAGACATTTCCTCTTAATGTCATCATGCCCTAATTAAAACTAAAAAAATCTCACTCATTAACCTTTAGTCTGTTCACACAATCGTCAGCACAACATTTGATCTTACAGTTATGAAGCAATAATTTGCCTCTGGGTACATCAGGGCATTAACAGTATATCCATCTATCCTAAAATAGGATGAGCGTGGCCTTCCTGTTTAATCTTGCCAAAGTCAGTGTGAGCTGCGGTTGAAGTATTTGTCTGCACAGGTCTCAGCACTTTGAATGAAGAGGTGTGCAGGCCGCTCACTCAGCCTTCAGGCTCCATCAAAGGTAAGATAACCTAAAAATGCCCTCTTTTGTTTCCTGAATCCCCTTCATCCCTCTCCTGTTACTTCCTAAAGCTCATCTATCAAACATTTTAGGAGCTTCAAGCCAGGTCTTTGGTGTCAGTCTGCTCTGAGTTGTTGTACCAGAGTGCCCTCTGGTGTTGACATCTGTGTCCCTGCACACCTTTCAACACCTCAGGCTTGATGGGAGCATATCTGTCTCTACATGAGTACAAGGCAAGTCTTCTGCATGATTTGCTATTTCCAGTTTCTGTATTAACAATTCAAATACCAAAGTAGTACAATGACACACTTTAGTTTAGTTCACTGTTTTTGGCCGGTGCAGTAGCTAGCTGTTAGAATAATTAGTTGGAGACTTGCCATTACAGTGCGGTTGCCAGGCAACCACCAGTCTTGGGGAAGTCCCTGTGTAAAAACAGGTTTTTACAGATTATACAACAGATATAAAGTGTTAATTAGCTGCCTTTAGATGTGGTTTAGAGGAGGTTTTGTTACCTTTTGATAGAGCCAGGCAAGCTGCCCCCCCTCCCCCTTCCAGTTTTTATGTTAAGCTAAGTTAACTGGCTACTGGCTGTAGCCTTAGATCTAAATTTAATAGTAGAGATAAGAGTGATATCAGTCTTCTCATCTTAATCTCTGCAAAAGAAAAAAAGAGAGAAAACTACTACTACTTACCTGTAGATAAAGGACAGAAATATTATAAAGTAAAGTATGATAAGTAAAAGTACTTGTTATGCAGAAAAACTGATGCTGTGACTAATATATATAAATTATATAATCAATACTGATGCACCAATGTATAATTTTACTGCTGTAGCTGGTTGAGATGAAGCTAGTTTTAACTACTTTATATACATTTTGGTTGTTTAGCCCAGTGACTCTCAACCCTAGGTATGGGCTCTGACCCCTTAAAGGATCACAACATAAATATTGAGGGATTCATGAGATGATTCATTCAGCTTTCCATTTTTTTTTAATCTTTATTAAATAAATAAACTGGCCTTGAACAGGTATTTCAGCAAAACTATCTGAGAAGTTCAGAGGAGAAATCTCTCTTTGGAAGAACTTATAACAACTAACAGGCATCTGAAACAGGGGTCCCAACCAGAGGCTGCTTTTTTGTTACAAGCCAAAAATGTTGGAAACAAATGTAGAATCTTAAAAGTAACTAGCATAAAATGGAAATACTTAAGTAAAGAACAAGTACCTCAAAATCTGACTTAAGCACAATACTTGACTAAATGTACTTAGTTAACATTCACCTCTGAGGAGTGGTACAATCCCTTGAAACCAGCTGACTTCAGAATAAAGACAAAACTACGAAGAAGAAAAACTAACTGTGACACACCCTCAAGTTACTCAGTATTTATTTATACATTGCTGTATGCAGGGTTTATGTCAGCATCAGCACACTTCATATTACTACTCCTAAAACACTGTTTGCCCCTGGATTAGTCTTATTTAAACTGGAGAGGCTCATTCTATAACCCATTGTGTAATGACAAATCGTTGCAGAGCTTAAGGCTCTGTGCAATAAAAGCAGGCCTTCCAGCCGCCTGTTTCAGTCAGGTTTAGTGTCTTCCCACCAAGCACGCCTCAACCTGCCTCCTCAGCACCTTTCTGCAGTTTCTACATATTAGTCCTCATATGCAAGCTGCTCCAAAATGCTTATTTACCCCCTATTCAAACCAACGTTGACAGGTAGACCTGCTGTCTGCACACATGCAATATTAATCTGGTGATCATGTTGCAAATAGTCTTTAATCAGCGTCCACTTTTGCTTCCCACCAGTCTGGTTTTATACAAGCGTTCCACTGTGAGAGGTGGATATCTTGTTTGTGTTTGCTGCAGATGAAACTAAAGATTTGATACACAGCTCCAACAGAGTCTCTATAGTCCTGATCAGAAGAATGTTCACACTGAGGTTTAGAGGTAACACAAAGGTGAAGAGCACACCCACGAACCCTATTATTACATTCACCCCCAGGCAGGGAAAACCCCACTGTCGCCACCCACCCTGGTTCCTGTATTGTGAGTCCACATGGTCCTCGATGATAAATGTCAGAGGTATACCTCTCTTTGTCCTTTCGTGCTCCTGTCCTGCAGACAAACACTTGGGGGAGATGAGGACAAAGTCTCCATGGAGATGCGCCGACATCTGCACGCTGTTCCGGGAACACGCTCTGTGAACAGTGCAGCTGCTCTCTGTTTTCTCTGGGTCAACACACTGTGCTGCCTCTGATACCGACATCTCAGGGTTCACAGGCTTGGAGGGTACAGGCAGCGCTGGTTCGAGGTCTTGCCAGCAACTGTTGCTGTTATTGTTAACTCCATGTTTCTCTTTCTGTGTTCTTGACATCCGTGCCGGGGCCCCCTGTTGCCTGAGCAGGCCCGTGCTCGTGGTTAGGAGGAGCAGGAGGAGGGAGAGGAAGGCCATGACCCAGCAGGGATTCACAGTGCTGGATACGGGGCTGAACAGGTTGGGCAAACATCTGATGAGGGAGTTGGTTGTGTGCAAACAGGCAGCAGCCCACACTTCCTCCAGCTTCCATCGCCACCTGACATTCAGGGCCACGACGACCCACACAGACAAACAGCAGAGGTAACTGGCAACATGAGACAACCTCTTTTCTGTGTCTTTGTCTGGGTTATCGCTGTCCTCCTGCTCTTCTTCCACTGCAACCTCCCCAACATAACAATGCTGTCCATCAGAGTCCGTCACTGTCTTGTGTGTGACAACAGAGCGAGACCACAGCAGCCTGGTCAGAGTCTCTACAGCGATCAGAGGTGTGGTCAGGAGCAACACCACACCATATGTGTGGCTGAGAAAGAGCAGGAAGCGCAGGGCAATGATGTCACCGAATGGGCTCAGCTTAGTCAGCCAGGACTCAAAGATGCAAAGAACACTCAGAAAAACTGAGGGAGAAAAAAAAAGAGTGTCAGTGAGTGAGGTGACTGGATCGGATTAGAGCAGTGATTTCCAGCTAGGGGTTTGTGGAAATATTGCGGAGCAGCTCAGTTAACTAAAAAAATATAAAATGAAAGATTCCCTCCAGACATCTTTTAACACACATAAACTCTGCTTGGAATATTAATTTTTGTCTGACGTGTTTCTTTCCACAACAAATTAAATTACCTAGTTAGAAATTCTTTAGATAGCATCTAGTCCTTCTCCCTCACATATTGCTCATGTCTCTTACTCCACTGAAACATCCATTCCTAGTGTATAGTCCTAGTGTATATGTGCACTTGAGGTTTCCAGTTCGAATGTCCAACCAGTGTAAATTGCATATTTGTAAAAATCACAGCTGTCCCTTGAACTAGTTATGATGTCACAAATTTGTGCTTGTACGCACACATCTTAAACTGAGATGAGGTGAGGACACTGTGTCTTGTAGGGCTGCAACTAAAGATTATTTTCATTATCAATTAATCGAATAATTATTTGGTCTATAAAACGCCGGTCACAATTTCCTTAAAGGACCAGTGTGTAGGATTCAGTGGCATCTTGCATGTGAACACCGCTCGCATCTGTATTTGACAACCTGGGAATGAGAACAGGCTGTGAAGTGTGCAGGAGACACTTACGCGGATAGACACTGTAAAACGGTAATCGAAACTGATCTCTGACTATTAGGAATATTCAGGAAAACCAATACCTATGGAGCATAATTATATTCAATTTCTGCCCAATAGAATCCGTCCCTTGAAATGAACACCATTGGACCTTTAAATCAATAGTGACATCTTTAAATGACTTGTATTTGTCCAGCCAACACTCAAACAAAGATATTCAGTTTGCTAGCACATAAGACAAAGAAATCTAGCAAATCCTCACATTTGAGAAGCAGAAACCAGGAAATGTTTGGCTTGCTTGCTTTAAAAAAAAAAAAAACGTTGTCATTCAACTAATCTTTTAATCAACATTTTGTTCCAGCTTCATGTCTTGAATGAAAAAAATCTTATAACAACATCCACTTTGATCTAATTAGTAGTGTTAGATAATGTCCTGTTTAAGCTCTTGGGCTGTGGGAGTACTTCAGACAAACTGTGGTGACCAGCACACCTGTTTACATCCCGATACTCACCTGTGACCAGGAAGTCGGTAAAGATCAGGAGGCAGCAGCAGCAGAAACTGACGGGACTGTGAGAGGCCGCCAACGAGGGCAGGAAGAAGAGACTGCAGGCCAGTTTACACACACACAACACCGCCGCCCCTTCCAACACTCCATCCATGGCTACAGCAAAACAACAACACGGGTTAACGTATCGAAAAACTGTTTTAATTTTTGCCTGGGGGGAGTAGGAGCTCAGGAATGTCAGGCACTCTGCTGACACTAAACCACCAACAATATTAGATATTTCTGTACAGGTTTGTAAACTGTTTCACTGTCAGTGAATGTTTCTGCCCCGTTAATGCAGATCAATATTCTCATTGTTTACATTAGCAGTGAACCCTGGACCAGACAGCTGTTTACATTGGATCAGAAATCAGCAAACTCAGGAATAAATTAAACTATCCTCTGCTGTCAACATGCAATATATTTAAAATCATCTAAAACAATCATATTTACAAGGAAATGAATAAACAAATGATATGAAACACATCAGTAATGTGAACACAGATTGGAATTTGTAGTAAACTCTTTTACTATGACCTGACTGCAAACATTTCCACCTCCTGACCATGACACTACAATCAGACTGACTCAACCTGTTAAAATAAACCTTGGTATCTCTGTCAAATGATAAAAGTAGGAACATTCAAACTACATGTTACAGAAAAATGTTTATTAGTTCTTACCTGGACTCACAGGAGCTTTAGAGCAGCATGTCAGTATGAGCTTCAAATGTTTCATCCGTTCACTTCACCTCCCTCTTTGCTCCACCCTCAAGGGGATAATGACCCTCTCCCTCCTTCCCCCTCCTGTGCTCCCTGCACCTGGCCTGCATAGAGGTGAGAGAACATGTGCGTCTCAGAGGGTGTGGCCCTGTTTGCACAGGCAAGAAAACCAGTCTAACAACTAACAGTGAGATATGCAAAGTGTCTCTCTGTAGGTGTCAGTACAATTTTATCTATACAGCAACCTTTTAAAACAACCTTTTACAAAGTGCTGTACAGGATACTGATGCCTAAAAAACAAACAACATACAAATACAGGAATATACAGAAAAATAAATTACAGCACTATTACAGGGAATGCAAGTTGGCTGAAATGGGGTTTGATCTGTTCTTTAAAGCTGTTTACAGACTTAGCTGAACAGAGGACGGAGACTGTTCCAGTGGGACGGGGCCTAAAACAGAAGCACAGCTACCCTTGCGCAGGGTACGGGGTATAAATAAGAGACCTTGGTCGGATCATCTGAGTGGGCTAGAGGTGAAATAGAGATGCAAACGTTTGGAAACAGGAATGGGCAAACCCGTGTAGGGCCTTGTTTGTGATAAGCAGTCTCTTGAAATATATTCTATACTTAATAGGGAGCCAATTAAGGTGTGAGAGGACTGGTGTGATGAACGGTTGGTTTTGGTTAGCGTTTTGCACGAGTTGAAAGTCGTGATGCAAGAAGAAAATAGAGTATGAATTAGTAATTTGAGATCTCTAGTTGATAGCATTGATTTGCAGGTTTGCACAAGCTTGTTTACGTATGTGTCAAAGTTCAGTTTTAAGACTACACTGAGGTTTCTTGATGAGGGTTTAACACTGGTGGCCACAGGGCAGATACAGGGTTTCACTTGACTTGTTAGGACCAATAAGGAGAACCTTGGTTTTCTCTGGATTTGGCTGGAAAAAACTGAGGATACCAATATTATCCATATCATTTGGCTTCAAAATACAGCTGTTTGTCTTCAGTGTAGCAGTGGTGAGAGATATAATTAATCTGACTCACCAGGCTGCCTAAAGGTAACCTGTAAAGTAAAAAAAATGATTGAACCCTGCAGGAACATACTGTATGATGTTTAATTTTCATTGAGAGGTTACAAACATTCCTGTGTTACACCCACATTGTTCAAACTACAGTATGTTATTCTAAAAGTGTACAACGAGTACACACAAGCAAGGTGTTTCATAATGCAGGTTTAGACTGTAGATCACTTAACTGTGATGAAGATGATGCAATGTCTGTGTGTTGGTGTTATTCTTTTAAATCTATAATCTAGACAACAACATGCATGCTTTTCAATGCTTCTCTATAATTTATGATTATATATGTTTTATATTAATGATAAATGATGATTGCTTTAGTTTGCAGTTAACACCTGCTGTACATTGTTTGGACAGGTGGGACCAACAGAAATTATTTGCATTTTACATTATGTAGAAGAAGACTCTCCTGGGAAAACAGCCTCATTACCTCTTTTCTCTGATTACATAAAAATACTTTAAATATTTTATTTATAACTTTAGTTGTACCTCATGTTCAAACCATACTTTAATAAACATGATACTCCTTACAGATGGAATCAGATGCAAAAAAGTTAAAATCACTTTTTCTATTTGAAGACTTTAAAACGTTCACTCTTGGCCTTGGAAGTTGACAAAAGTTTAGTAGCTGTTCTGGAGCTT